AGCCAGAGATACTGGGAAGCAAGAAGAAAGCTAATGAACTATTATTGAGGGAAGCTGAAGTCAAAGGTTAAGGGCTAATGATAATTATCATAAAGCCTGCCATTTGAAATAAGTAAATAAATACCTCTACCATATCTGACAAACCCCATTTTGATATGCTGACAATCATAACCATAGAAAAATGGCATTGAAATTGACTATTTAAAACAATATGTGGTGTGACACCGGTGGTCAAGCAAGAATAACGCTTGATTAAGGGAATGCGGACTCTAATGTGAACGTGCCTTCATTGATACTTTCTGCCTATAGTAAGCTCTAACGAAATCTTCGATTCAGATTGAGAGTGAAAAGGAAAATGTTGGGGGACCTTAAAAGACGCCGACTGGGAGATAAAGTCAAAGGTCTCACACAAATAAAACCACTCGCCAAGTAGCCTTAATAAAGTCTCTGTTCGACCAATCAGGTAAACAACATGGCCCAAAAAATGTGACCGTGAAAACTGACCTAAGGCCATATTCACACCCCAAATTTTAATGGCCTGGAGTAAGGTCAGCCAAACTGATAACAGCAGAATTTTTTATTAGACGACAAGTTCGTGCAATTAGATTGAAAAAAAATAGAATTTATTTTTTTTTGGAAATAAACCTAAAAAATTTATTGCCACTCAATATGAGAATGATGCTATGGAAATTGAAATTGTATATAGACGTTCGTTTAGTTACCCGAATACATCAGCAACGCTTTTTTGCCAGTCTCGCATAGATACAACGACATATTACCTTTTCGAAATATCCGGTATATCGATAGCTTTGCAAATTCATGAATATATATAAAATGCTTGAAGAGCAGTTATAAGGAGTTAATAACTAACGACCTTGTAAATAATTGAGATCTTATCTTGGAATCGAGGAAAAAAATGATTTCATGCTCCCCTAATTGACCATAACCGATTTCCACAAATTACCAGTTATCAATACTCCAAGTCAATGAAAAAAGCAAGCAAATAGACTTCAACTCGAACAAAACGAACGGGGAAAATAGATCCCCCAAGTCACAAAATCATTAATTCCTCAATCTAAAGAATAATCTTCGAAATTATAACAGCTACCCTTATTAAAATTTATTTGGAAATTGATTGGTCGAGAAACAAACCGATAATTAGGACAGAGGCAAGACGCGCGCGTGAGGTGCTAACAGAGGTGACCTCAATGAAGAGACCAATCAGCGTGCAACTGAGTCATTGCAGGTGGAGTGCAATTAGACGGCTGAAAGCAGCCTAGCCTAGCAATACGTGCGACGTACGGACAAGGTCAAAGAGATGAAACACATACTCTGCGCGCGGGAGGGCAATAAAACTTTCACAGCAGCCGCAACAACGAAAAAGAGCGAGATGGCAACTAGAAAGCAATTGACTAGTTGGGTTACTACTGATAACTTTAGAGGTGGCTTATAGGGCCATTTTGAGAATATAGATTGGAAACAGAGATGTGACGCGTTGATGCCCGATCCAGGGCGCCTTTAAATTACACCTAAGGGAACAAACTCCACAGTTCATTTTACTCCAACCACCAACAGCCTATAGGAATAAGATAAATACATAGTCAAGGTAGCAGTTAAGTTGTTGAAACGAAGAATTCACCAAGTTAATTTGATGAAAAAAAAGTGTTAAAGTTTTTTAGCGTTTGCTTGAATTGCATTCGATCGAAACAATTGGAGAATGAAAATTAGCAACTTACATGTTCTAGATCTTGACGGGTTCTTTCGAATAGCAGCTGTCAGCATACTATGAAGAGTTGGGTCATTTTTCGTATCATAGTAGGGCGTTTCGTATATATCGCCAGCAAACAACTCTGTCTCCGGCCCAAACACTCTGAATCGACAGCTCAAGTAGGCATTCGCGAATAGATCATCAAAGAGAGCATTGTCAGCAGCAATATCCATGACAACCTCGGTGTTGGAGTATTTGAGGAACATGAGACGATTATCTTGAGAGTCCAGACGTGCAAGGTCTTGACCATCTAACTCCCAAGTCTTGATAACTCGAAGACCAACATAGGGCGCAAGTTCAATGTCGCAGTAGAATCGATGAGTGGTTTGATTGAAACATTCCTCCAAGCAACTGTAATCCGATAATTGTCGTATAACTTCCGGTTTAGCTAGAAGAAGAGCATTTCAAATACATCACAGGAAAAGAAAGGAAGCGATAAAAAAATAATATCGAAACTCTTACGCAGAACTCGAATTAGAGTATTCGTTCGCACAGAACCCAGTGCATTAGTTCCAACCATTGAGACAGTATGTGAAGACCCATAGGGCGAATTTGGCAGAAAAGTGAGATCTCGAACTGTGTAACGAATTGAGTTGTCAGAGGGGAACTCAATTTCTGGATTTAAGTCCCGGATGTAGGGAAAAGCGTCACCGAGCATTCGTAGAGACTCCCGATAGTTGGAAGAAGATAGAGCGTCAATTTCCATTCCATTGATGAGAAGGGACTGTAAGAAGACGGCAATTGTGGCCATAAAATTCTAACCACATAAAGAGACAAGAGAAAGGCATTCAAGCTTACCCGAGAGGTTAAACGGCCGTCAAATTCAGCTGAAATTTGTGCCACATTGCCTTGAGGAACAATAAGATATCTTGGTGGTGCTTCCTTAATGGTAGGTGGTTTCGTAATGACCACATCATACTGAAAGTAGACAGGCTCAAAGGGTCCTTCCAAAGCGAGGGCGTAGGTACCTATGAAAATAACACCACAAGTAAAGGAGTATGATATAAATTGTGGGGCGAGGGGGGGGGGGGGGGGGGGTAAANGTAAAGACCATCCACTAACCAGCAAAAGAGAATTTAATATCCTGAGGGAAGATCAGAGAGTGCCTAGTAGCTGTGAATTGGAATGGGATTGACCCTCCATCTTTGGTCCATTTTGCAGAAACGTTCTGAGGATTCGCCGTGTAAAGAGCATTCAGGGTGATAACATCTCTAGCGTGCTACAATCACAACGAAAAAAAAAATAAAATTAAAAATTGATGGCACCCGTAGGAAAGACTGAAACTGTTTCAAAAAATTGCCCTCTACTAACGAATATGGCAGGAGGAGTAAAGTACGGAGGGTATAGTGCCCAATTCATCATGTTCATTGATGAGCATTAAGAATAAGTCTATGCAATTTTGAAAACTACTATTATTTGGTCAAATTCCTGATAAAAAATGCATTGTCTTTTTATCCTCTACCTCCTTATGATTAAAACCCCCAACCTAAAATGGCTTGGCAAGGTTATACATACTACTTTTATTTCAATAACTTAAAAAGGCAAAGGGATGTGCACATAACTCACACACTCGTCCTTGTCAAAGTGACTCATGAAATACCTTTGTATTCCCAAAACCCAGTCAAGGTGTATTGAATACACTTTGGCCTGCACAAACTCTATGGCCTACTATTTGTTTGATCTGTTTTTTTCTGTTGCTACCTGCTGTCTCTTAGTCTTAGCTACTCAATAAGTCGGAGTTACTTTTAATTCAATAAGCTGATGACTGTGAGCATTTACCCTTCTACACACTAATTATTCTGTGTGAGAATGGCCAACCGCAACTAGAAAATAGGAGGCGCAAAGGTCAGTTTGCTTGCCATGGAGGGGGCTCAAACCACGAACCAAAATACTAACTAATACCCACTACTATCGCATTTCAAGGAAAATAACTGGGAATAAAGCACGAATTTTTAACAAAAAATAATAATAATAATAATGACATTAAAAATGGTCAAAACCAAGGGACTATTCCGTTTAGTTACTAACTCAAAATGAAATATATTGTAGATGGTAAATTTTTAAATCTTGAGAAAATGGAGAAAACCATACCCAGCCACCTCGAATAGAGATGTAGTTATAGAGTGGTGATTTCGGGATAATTTTATTAGGATAAACACCAGGAGTATACGTGAATGGAACCCCTTTATCATCGTCATTTTGAAAGTAGGCAGAGAAGATCTTGTTGTGAAGGTAATTGGTGGTGCAAATAATTCCAAGAGGTCGATAATCTTTCACCAACTCATGGATAATAAGAGTCCCATTTGATAAGACAGTGTGCTCGAAGTATTCTCCAATAGGTTTATGGTGGTCATAGCAATCACGCATTCCAAGTTGGACACCAGGTTCAGATTCACAGACAGCCCAAACGTATGGAGCTGGGAATGTATCTTTAGCCCAATTAGGGAGTTCAAGACTATCCGAAGAACTACCACATTCAAAATACATTGGAAAACTGCTACCAATCAGAGGTCCACGAAGACTCGGACCAACCGAATTTCTCTTCAAAAAAGCTAAAGTACATTAACAATAGCATCATAGGAGTGGAAATCCGAGATAAATATTAAGCCTAAACATACCCGAGACATATGAATCCAGATCGTAAACGTCAATGGTGTTTGATTGAATAACACCGTTACGATTTCCAAGACGACAGAAGTATGTTGCATCTAGAGGGAACTTATCTCGATCCCAGTATGAAGTGAAAACATAACCATTGTATATATCTCCAGAAGATTTGAATTTATATTTATTCGAAAGAAGGTAAGAACTACCAATGGCATTGTCACATTTCGGTTTAAGAGCTGAGGGAGTCTAAAAGGATATTTGAATTCGGGTACTGATTACCTTAAAACAAAGTTGAGCATTGGTGATAGGTGAATCGCGAGATAATTTGTCGACAATGCAGTGAAATTCAACTGTTGGTGGAGCATCATTAATAAGTTCAACGATAAGAATTTTGGTCAGTGGAAACATTCCATCAATGACAATAGGTTGATCAGCACCAAAGTATGTGAAAGACCCATTTCTATAGACGGCAGTTTCAACTTTTTTGAATTTCAAGAACGGAGTTTCGTTTTCTAATAAAGTGACGAATTTATGACTAATCCTTACCTCCAAATGCACAATTTTGGAAAATAAAAGTTAAAAGAGAAAATAAGTAAACTTTTCCAAGCATTGTTGCGACCCAAAAAAGTCACCGAGACATCAACAAGGCCAACTATTCGTCTTTGTACAATCAATGGAATACCTTAAAAATAGCCGAACAAAACAAATTTCGACAATTTCCAACTTCTCAAAGGTTTTCAAAAACGTTTGGCCAAAGAAAGGATTTATTTTCTAATCTTTATTTTTATCATTCAATCATCATTTAACCATCATATTTTTATTACGTTTTAAGTTATTTAATCAACATAACTTAGCTTAGTTAAAATATCGTTGCATTATTTGGTGTATCGGAGATATGTTTTAGTTTTCTTAATGCTTACAATCACTACCATTTCCTATCTCTACATCTAGTTGGGTTTACTTATCTTCACTGTCAAGCTTATAACCGTTTATCTTATGCACCAGATCCGGTATTTCTACAAAATTGCATTTGATATTGAAATGAACGTGAATATTTTTAGTTGAATGTTGAAAGCTGTGCTGCGAATACTGAAGGAAAAGTTTAGTTAAATTAGAGTGGCAAATATGTCATACATTCTTATAGGAGCAAAGTAATATATTATTTGACTTAATGACTTTTTTCAATACACTCTGCTTGGCGCTAACCCATGTAAAATTTTTTAGAGCATATTCTGCAACTTAGTAATTGGTCAACGTATATAAGACCCTATTGTCCTTCTTTCTTCAATGAGTGCAAAATATTCGCACATTCAGTCTGGTTTCGATTGATCTCTACTTAAACAATTCTATTTTAATCAATAACTTAATTCAGAAATGTAGGAAAGACATCTGTGAATGGTAATATTTTTAATTGCTGCCCATATTTGTCTGGTTAAATACCACATAAGCCGATTTAGGCTATTCTCCATTTGCAACCTTAATGTAATGCGATTTGCCTTATAAAGCAGAATGCTAAAGAACGGAAACAAAGTGGCGTAAAGTAGTGTATCTTACTTAAAGCGTCATATCTTTGGAGTAGGGGAGGCTTTGCACTAATCAGTATATGCTACGCATTTAATTGAACGGATTTTGACTCTCAATGCTACTGATTTTATTGTATCTTTCTCATTTTTCTATGGCTTGCAAATGCCAATCGACAATCATATATGCGAAAGTCAACGAGCGGACATGCCTGACATTCTTCGACGAAGCAGTCGCACAAAAACACTAACTTGATTTAGATAAATTAGGTTTTTTGTTGATTCACGAACTATTCAACGACATGACGCATTCCTCACATATGGTCAGGAACCACACTTCGCTACTGAGCGGAGCATTGAATTTTCTGATTGATTCGTTGTGATTTTCAAAATAATTGTAAAAGCGACTTGGTCACATTCTCAAGAAAGAGCATGGAACTAAGTTGGAATTAGTTAACACGTGTCCATTAATAATAGTTAGCTTCAATTCGAAGCCGAAAGTAACAGGTGTAAAAGAGGTACGTCTATCATCCCACTCAATTAATTTCAGTAGGAAAAAAGAGAAATTAACAATATTTTCAAAAACTTCAATCAATAATACCAAAACCGCATGATTTAACAATTCACACATAAAATTTCGGGGTGTTAGGAGAATGTCCGCTTTTGTACAAAACCTAAATAGGAATTACATCATCATGTTATTATTTTCCGAATGATGAGGAGAAACAGAGGAGCTACGGGATGATTGAGGTGAAGGTCGGTTGTGACCATTTCTCGAATCACCATTGCCCTTTTTCTCACCTTCTTCCAACTCCAGGAATTTGTCGTGACACCACTGTCCTTCATCTCTAGAGAATCGATTCGATCGACCGGCGCCCCGATCATTTTGGCCGCGTCTACTACTCTGATAGCCTAGAATCCAAAGGAAAAGTAAGTTTTTAACACGAAGAGTGTTGCTATGAAACACAGAGAACTGATTATACCGTCGAAGTTATCTCGCCTTCTTCGAGCACTACGGAAATTTTTATTTCGCCCAGTTTGGTATGGCTCGTCGCGGTCATCATGCTGAAATAGAAATGCAATTAAATTAATTATCAGAAAATGGGGAAAGTTATGAGCCTGTACAGTTATTTGCCTGTAATTGTTGATAATAATGGATTGAAAGTAAGGGGGTTGACAAATCAGTGGCACTGGCGTCTGGCTGGATGTTTTCAAGTTTGGTAGAGCTCAGTAATGGAGGCCAATGGCTCTAATCTTCATGTCGTGATAGAGGTCCTTGCTATTCCTAAATGCCAATTTAATTCGCCTACTTCAACTTGTTCCGCATATGACATATTACTCTTGTTTTTTAATCTACCACTATCACTCTGCTTCATTCTCAAATACGAGATGAAGTGATCTTGCAATTATCTTAAATTCATAATGTTATAAACATGCTTGCTACAATATATGGCGATTTTGTGAGAGCACAGCTCAACTTTAGTGAATTCTCAACTGTAGATGGTGATGTACTTTAAAAATGACATAATATATATATATATATATATATATATATATATATATATATATATATATATATATATGCACTATGGATATGGAAAGACAACCTTTCCACAAAGGATTGTTCCTCTATTCTTCAACCAAGTAAGGAAGGAAGAAGTGTTTGATTGACATTTTAAGGTAAGAAAAATGGGAGAATTGGGTGACATGGGGAAAGCAATTTTTAGAGCTTTTAGCTAACTGACAAGTAGGCGGGGACACTCTATCTGCAAGACTACATTAAAAAATAAGGAAATAGGCCTTTATGGAGCACATTAGAAATAAATCACTCTTCCCCACTTTGAACTAAGGCAATATATAAATATCAAAAACACGTCTAAAACGTACCATGAAGTAAGCAGAACCCTTTGGTACTTCGAGAGGATTTACAGGACCGAGACGACTAAATGCACTGCCTCTTTTCGCATTCTGATTTCTTTCCGAGATGACGTTGCTTCTGTGGTTAGTGTCACTGGGATAAAGGAATAAGAGTGGATGGATAATAGTCCATTAAAAATAGGCCAGAATTTGGAAAAATCTTACGAAGTATGATTTTCTGCTTGCTCTGCTTTCAATGCAGCCACAATTCGTTCAGCAATTTTCTTTTCGTCGTCACTCGTCTTGTAGACGGGAATCTGCGCAAAGAAAACAACGCTATTCAGCTCCATAATTTTGATATCCCTTAATTGAACCTTTCACAGGGAAATAGAGGGGGGGGGGAGAGAGGGATAAGAGATAAGTCACTATCCATGAGCTATAACCAGACAGAACGAAGTCAACAATGAATCGGCGACTCGACGAGTTTCAATGAGTCGCATCCAGAAGATCAACATCTGAGAATAACTTGGCGAAAATTTATTGATTAAATATAAATGGCGTTGCCAGATGTGTGCAAGCTTGTATAAAGATCCAAAACTTGAATGCATAAAAAAATTGGTTATGTTCTTGGAGAGGAATCGGAGTAATACCGAGCATAAGAAACCAAATGACCATTAATAAATTTAAAAATGCACGCAATCACATTCACGAGCGTCTCACAGCAGACAGATGTCGACAACGCAATGAGTTTTGGTAGTACCAGGCGAAGGCAAAAGGCACATATTAAACATGTTTCAAGCGGCAGTAGCGCCTTCTGTTACGAATCTAGCACCAATGGAGCCTATTTTGAAAGAGGACAGTACAATCCAAAGGGCATTAAGGGATCAAAGGAAATAGGATAAGATAGCGTTGAAGGTACCAAAAAGGCAACCTATAAGTTATTAGCTACTGCAAATTGCAAGCAGCCTAGGCTAGATGTATCGCAAGCACCAACGCGACGGGAAGAAAATGTTTCTCACTCTATATCAAACAACTTTTGCCTGATCAAATGGCCCTACTTCCAAGTGTCCTTCGGATACAATCAATCATCAATCTCACTTTCCTTGTCAATAGTATTCAGTAGCAAACTATTGCTAATTATAAACAAAATATTTGACAATCCAAAAAGACCATGGAGGGAAAGGACACAAGCATTCAGTTAGGGGTTAGAAGTTCTTTAAGGAAGAGTAACAAGGATAAGGAGAAACCGATTAAAACAGAACTTCAAAATAAGTCTTAGCTTTTATATTCCAGTGAATAAAGATTTTTGATAATTGATATAGGGAAGGAAAGGAGAGAACTCCTTAAAAAGTGCATACTCACCTCAGGCCGATTAAATACCGGTTTAGCTCCAGCATTGGGTGGGTATGGAATCAGTAATTTCACACTCATATCTACATTGAATGAGATCTTCGCATTCGGATCCGTAATATCTGGTGGTAAATTTCTGTCAATTACCACAGACAACTCCTTTGCCTCTCTCATGAGAGTTGGAAGGGGCAACTTGCATCTATTCGTGAGTATGAGATGTGCTAACCCCCCCAGTACACCATACTCCCGCAGACCACGCCGTAGAGTGGATTTGACCACATTCTCGAAACGCACGCTCAGAGGAGGCATAGGGGCGGGTGGAGGACTGCTTTTAGTTGGACGGGATCTCTGCATCGTTGGAGGGGGCGACAGAGGACGCGTTCGTGCAGGTGATGGCCGGGCATGATGAGCGACTGGACTTCGACGTGTAGGACCAGCCCGATCACGACGAGAGAAGGGAGGCGAAAAGCGTCTTGGACGTCCGAAAGGCCTACGACGTGGCGGCGGTCGATAGGACGGTGTCCGACTATTTTTAAGATACAGAAAAGAAAATCAATAAGTCTTTGGATATTTCTGCGGTGATAAAATACAACTTTTTTCCCACTCCTGAATTATATATATCAATTTTTACTTTAAGTAACCTAACTAACAATAAGGATAAGTTACAATATGCCCACAGGAAAAATTAGAGCTTAATTGACTTATGTGATCCAACAGTGATTAACTTGGACACCCACATCCAATGAAGTCGATAGACACGGATCCTCATGAAAAACATTAGGACCACCACTGCTATCAAAGTTTAACTAGAACTTTTAGTCGATCGAGTCAAGCTAACTTCTACACAGATTGTATTTGTTAAAGCTACACTCAACGATTTTCTTGATCCCACATTATCTCAGTAAATTCACCTTCATGATATACCCTACCATGAACACACGCGCACAATATCCTCCCCCCCCCCTCCCCCTATTTTCGTACTCGCAATTGATAATCGATTCCAAATAAAGTTCTGAAACTGAGCCATTATTTTTCGATCTTGTAGCACCGTGAGGATCGAGAGAGAGAGAGGTTAGAAGACTGTTAGCTTAACAAGATCGTTCTGAGAAAAAAACTGCTACCTACTCACCACAACGGTTAACTAAGCAATTTCTTTTATACTTGAGCATTGGCCTTTGAGTAATCGTCAAGAGTCTTAATTTCATAAATCGCTGACCAAAAGAACCCTTCTAATGTTCATTTTGCTTCTAGAATGACGCATACCCTAGTTCCAAATAGACACAGCTACAAATTCAAGTGACTACTTAACCCCTCTCGTTTCAATTACTTTTCCCGATAAATTCGTAAGTGAATGCATACTAGCTCTAACTCAACGAGTTCAATGCGTGGTTTGATAATGTAGCTATTGATTGCCTAACAATAACAAGGTGGTATAAATCGGTCAACCAGCTTACTTCACCTCACAGAAGGCCCACTTTGTTACAACTCGTGCTCAACTAGATCGATGCTAACGCCTTTGTTATTCCAATTGACATTTTACTGCAACAATTGGCTTATTCATTATTATAATTTATTAACTTTTGGGAAAATATAAGACTTGAAAGATCTAACTCGTAGATCAGCCAAACAGAATAGATTTAATGCTACTTTAAAGCATAGGGTAATAGTAAAGGTTGGCAGAAATTCGAGCATAAAAATTGACACAAAAATTAAGGACAGAGATGAGACAGTGTCAGGCTCATTTTAAGTAAAACTGAATACCACATAGACTGTCAGTATCACTACGGTTATGAAAGTCAAACGAACCTAGATCGGCGCCTACGACGATAACTAATTGAACGACTTCGTGAGCGAGAATGACTCCTTGATTGTTTCCTGATCCGAGAACTAAATAAAAAATAATAAAAGTATAATCGCAAATTTATCAGCATTGATAGTAAAATATGCGAAAAAAATTACAGGCAAAAACATCCTACGCGATAACTTTATAGTTAGTAGGATGTAAGGACTCCATGACCCTAAATTACACTGAATGGGTCTAATTTAACCAAAGATTTATTTAGAAGGTGCAATCACCACACCCACTTGTAGCCTTGTTGGTAACAGACACAACAGCACACAGATCTATGTGGCCATGGGATCGAACAAGGATATATAACCGTCTTCAAGGAAATTAAACAGGGTGACCACTGTCCTCACTCAATATTTTCACACTTCACAAGAGGCGCTAATGACCTAGCCTTACCTGTACCAAGTTACCGTTTTAATAGCTTCTGCATCTTAGAATAAGATAAACAGAGACAAGAATCATTTACTGAAGACTTAAATAATAATTTAAGTCTACCACAGCAAACAATTTATAGGACAGTACTTAATCTTGAATTGTCTTTGAAAACGAAAGAGCTTACCGAGAACGTCGATATCGACTACGACGATGACAAGATTTACCCGAAGACGACGAACGCGTAGATGAATAACGACGATGACGGCGTCTAGTAATGCTAATACTACGAGAAGACTTTCCTAACCTAGAAGACCTAGATGAAGTAGATCTACGGCGTACTCGATTTGCTGCAACTGGAGCAAATGAATCATCGACATCCTTCTTCGTAACTGAAGTGGCATCAGGCATTACTGTTGAAACTGCTTTTGGTTTATCCACAGACACAGAAACGGGCAAATCATCTACAACCATATTACCATCTGTGTGGGGATTTACCGCAGCTTGATCATCATTCATGGTTATCTAAAAAAATGCGAGAGTTAAAGGATAACCCAAGCGAGAATTTCATGTAGGACAATTATAGAAAGCAATCGTGTAGATAAATGCTGCTAAAAACATACTATCTATAAAAGAGGTACTTTAAAACACAACGCTCGAATTATGAGAATACTTCATGCCATAAACACAGTTAGAATCTTCCAGTAAAGAAAGTAATGAGCATTTCCATATCTGTAATATTTCGTAATAAAGAGAATTCAAGAGGACAGTATAAAAGTAAATAAATTAACTCAAAAATGCACACTTGACAATAAAATGACGCACGATTAAATATACACCGACAAGTTGGCTGAAGTGACTAATAAACTTGCATATTAAGCAACAAAAAATATTAATAGTAAATTTAAGTGATATTATATAATTAATTTCAATATTTTGATTTTCATAAAATCCGAATAGAAATTTAAAGAAACAAACATTATTATTAATGTCGCCATTAGCCATTTTTATATCGTTTCGAAATTATAGGACATCAAAATCTACATTTCTAATCTGAAAATTTATTTTAAATACTTTTATTTGTTTCAATGCTTAGATATTTCAGCGCTATCATCGTGTGTCCCCGACCACGCTTAAGTCTTCTTTCTCGTTATTGCCTCTCGTTTTGGGTTGTCGAGCATGAATAAAGTTAAGGGACGGACCCGAACTCATCAGAAAATATGGAATAAGCCCAATAAAAACGAGATTTTAGATAAAGAAATCTCGAATATTATGTCTGGTCGGAAGTTATTAGAAGAAGTGTGTTTTATTTTATTACATTGTCTTCTTTATTTCTTTTATTTGTTTAATTTTCACTATTTTAGCTTGATAGCTCAACCGTCGAGAAATTTTCTCAATTTCCGCTTTCAGAGCCCACAAGAAGGGGATTAAAATCCTCATCATTCTTCAAACCCACCCCAGTCCAGAAGAAGTCTTTAAAACACACCCTTTTGGGCAAAGATGTGATTGTCCAAGCCAAAACTGGGAGTGGAAAAACGCTTGCCTTTGTAATTCCCGTATTGGAATATATATACACTGAGAAAATATCTTCTTTCGATGGTCCAGTTGCTATCGTTCTTACCCCCACCCGGGAACTGGCAAAGCAGATATTTGCTGTCTTTCAACGCGTTGGAAAGTTCCATAATTTTACAATGATTGATATTATGGGAGGAAAAACAAACGTAGGTTATTGAAAGATCTTTGAACTTTTAAACTTTCATAGTAATCACTTAGTCTTTTTTAGACGGGAAAACGCGAAGAATGGCGAAGAGCAGCGAATGCGAATATAATCATTGGTACTCCGGGTAGATTTGCCCAACATCAACGACAGAATCCATCACTAGATATGTCAAATCTTCACTTTCTCATCTTGGACGAAGTTGACCGGCTTTTGGATCCTACATTCCGAAGTGAACTCATTTTCATCGTTAATAATCTTTCCTCAAATCGGCACAGTATGCTTTTCTCTGCCACGTTTTCCAAGTGGGTATTAATTACATGTCTACAATTTGTTTCGTTTATATATTTTTTCGTTCATTCTCTTCTTCTTTTGCAGAAATAGGTGTGATCTCTCAGCCTTGGGTCTTAAATCACCCGTTATGATATCAACTGAAAGCAGTAATATCGGTGCTACACCTGTGGGCTTAAAACAGAGCTATTTTGTGGTTCCTTTGGGCAAAAAGCTCGATCACCTGTGGACGTTCCTTCAAAGTCATTGCAAAAAGAAAATCATCGTCTTCTTTTCCACCCAGAAACAAGTAAGTCGTTTGTGTTGTCATTATTTATTGCATTCTGGGGCATTGTATTGAGCTATATTTTGATCTAGGTTCGATTTGTGCACGATCTTTTCACACATCTGCGTCCCTACTTCTCTCTAATGCAATTACGCGGTAACATGTTGCAGAGTAAACGGTTTAAAATCTACGAAAAATTCTCTCAAACTCCTCGAGGCGCTGTACTCTTTGCCACTAATATTGCAGAACGTGGTTTGGGTAAATCTTATCTTATTTGTTCTAAGCGTTTTATATAGAAATGTTAGTTTGATGCTTTTCTCTATTCTTTTTAATTTAGACTTCCCGGAAGTTGACTGGGTGGTTCAATTCGATTGCCCTAAGCAATTAGATGATTATATCCATCGTGTTGGCCGAACAGCTCGTGCAGAACGTCGAGGTCGGGCTCTTATGTTTCTTCTCCCCTCTGAGGTTGGGATAATCAAACTTCTAAATGAAAGAAACATTCAAATTCGTCAAATGCAGTAAGTTGCATTATCACTTTAACTTACTTAAATACAATTTTAATGGTTTGCCGATATGAGTATTTTATCACCTTGTGTCCAGGATTCCTGAATCACGTACTTATAGTGTGGTAACTACTCGAGCTCCTGCTATACTTGCCAGTAAACCGGAATTAGCAGAAACTGGCCGAATAGCGTTCTGTGCTTATCTTCGTGATTATTGCTTTATCCCAAAGTCCCTGACTTCCTCAGAGAAGAATAATCAGACTTCGGATGAGTGTGCTGGCATGTCTCTGGTCTTTAAACCAGGCGAACTTCCTGTTGATGAATTTGCAGCCTCTTTGGGTCTTGCTTTGGTGCCGGAGTTACCGAAAGAGATGCTCAAGTATATGCCTGAGAATGCCAAGAAGGCTAGGAAACCCACTCTGCTTTTGGCTAATGACAGATCTCAAGTTGAAGACCTCAGTGGATTCAATATTGACGAAGGTGTGGATAAAGTAGATGATGATGAAGATGACGGTGGTTTTCTTAAACGAAAAGCTTTCTCTGTCCTCCGACCGGAGATTATGGCTAAGGTGGAGGCGACTGGGAAGAAATTACTAGAAGTCGTGCCTTCTAGTGATGACGATGAGAGCGGTAGTGATGAGGGTGTGAAGGTGGGTGGAGCGTACAGGCCTTCTGAACCGGAGTTGCCCATTAAAGAATCAAAGGTGAGTATCTTTATTTATTTCATGACTAAATTAAAGGTCTCTCGAATCGCTAAACGTAATACTTATTGCTTTTTTGCACTCATTTTAAATCTAGGTCAACGAATATACTCTTGAATACCTCCTTTAATTTAATGAACTTTTACTTTTCGAGGTAAATTTGTGGAGCCATTCAAATATTGTTAGAATGTAGCACTTCGATATGTCGAGTGTTATTCTAGCATATATGCTCCTGATGTTCTTTATATTCTTCAGCAGAATTTCATCTTAGTCTTTTGTTACAAAGCTATCTCGCCACTTTTGTGAGCTTTAACTACAACTGGCTAGTTATATCCTTGTGGTGCTAGTTGGTAGTCAGACAATAGTGACCCATTGATGAATGTTGGTTGACCTCGTCACACCATAATCTGCTATTGATATTGGATAACCGGAATGCTTACTATACCTTCGAGATCACTATTTTTACATTTCAATAGTGGATTAGGTTATTTTGACAGCTCTATTATGTTGTGAATATTTTCATTGTATCTGCGATTGAACTTATCAAATTTGCCTTTTCTGATAACTGTTTCCTATGGAAAATAAGTCTATTACATCTTTTCTTAAACAAATATTTAAATACACTTTTATGGTATTTACTGGAAAGCAAATTAAGTAAGTGAAATTATTGAGGAATGAGCAGTTGCATGTCCTTGGGCTCAGAACTCATTAGTATACAGTCAACCGAATAGGTTAATTTTGGCTACTAAGGGGACTAGTAGAATTCCAGTTTCCTACTATGTTGACCCATTGGTGTCACTCCCCCCCCCCTTACCATACCCAAAGTGAGTTTCTGAAAGCACTTATAAAGTGGGTTTTATGAAGTGTCATGGCTATGTGCAGGGCTTGTTAATTGGCCTTCTTTTCTGATCATTTAAATTTAATTTGATTTGCGCCATTTATTTAACTCAACACCATTTTGGCCCACTTATCCTCTCTCCGGTTACCTTTGTCACGTTGATTTAAATGGCTTATTACATTTCCCTTCTCGTTAATCAATGCCAACCCATTTAATTAGTGTTTTATTATTTTAATTTTAGAAAAGACCTCTTACTCGAATCCAGCAGGCAAAGAAGGAGCTTAAACGCAAAATTGCCACCCACACGAGAGTCGAATACGACGCAGAAGGCAAGGTATGTCTAATCCCTTCCATTTTTTTCTCTTTATTGATTTGGTACATTTTGTTTTCTCTTCTTAGTTGATTGTTGTCCGTTAGAGTTTGCATAAATATGTGCTTTAAAAGTGCAATAAAGGCGTTTGTATAATCAGTTACTTTCAGTGCTGTTGAACTAAGGGGTTGATGGTTATAATATGAAATGCTATGCGTCATATTTGGGGTGGTGTGGAGTTATTGATGAACTCAGTGTTTGTTGCAGACGTACTTATCACAACCAATGGACTCTCTTCGATTTGTAAATTTGTTCGTTCCTTCGACTTTCTGGCCTGTTAGGCTATTAGTTAAGCGGCTGGGCCATCTCGGACTGTTTATTACATCTTATTAAAATGGATTTTCAAGCGAGTTGTATGAAGCACCAATCGTTAGCCTACTGGTTACTCCCCCACCCCCACCCTATTGGATTTCTATTGATTGTTAAATTAACCTGTTTATTCAGCGAAGTTATGTGGCTTTATTAAAGATGATTTTTTACTTTGTTTTTGCCTATGAATGGCATGTGATTGATTGATTTCTTTTCATTGGTATAAGTAGTATATTCATCTTTTGTCTATTCCATTTAGCCAATTGCCAAATATGTTGGAGGTGTTCGTATTGATGATTTGGATGGCGATGAGGGGTCCACTTTGCCAACACCTCGTTTGAACATTGAAGCAGAACGTGAAAAACTCCGCTCAATTATTGACGTAGAGGATAAGGCCCGTTGGCGAGAACAAATTCGAGCTAAACACCGCTTGGAGCGCAATAAGGCCAAGGAATTACGCAAGGCCGAACAAGCAGCCAACTCCACCTGTCAACTTGCTGCTGCTGGTGATGATGATGATGATGGCGGAGTACGTTTGTTAGATACAGAGCTTTTTTAATATGATATTTTTATGTTAATTTCTTCATAATTAACTTTTAGGACAATCACAGTTCCGTGGACAGTTCATATGAAGCAGGGGTAATTATTTCTTAAAACGCCTTCTACTAAACTGTTATAAGTAGCCATATAACGGGATGTTTTCTTTTGCAGCATTCTAATTGTTCCAACAACAATTCTGACAATGAAGTTGAAGATGAAGATATGGGGGATCTGGAATACTGTGAGGAATCCGTAGAAAGTGATGAAACCGACGAGGAAGAGGAAGAACCTGTTCGAAAACGTTCGAGAAACGACTAGAAGTACTCGGTGTTTGATTTGGAGATGTACAGAAATTTGTGAATATATTGAACTTGTGTCCACTTATTTTATGCCATTTTCTTTAGTGGTTGGTATTCGTGCTCGGGATCAGTGGCATCTCTGATTTTTTCCTAGTTTTTTTTTTCTTCTTGTGAGAGCTTCTCCAATAGGTGGAACAGTATTTGGCTGTTCATAATCTCATCAGGAGTGCATTATACAGTAATTTGACTACCAGGGTCATACAAGATATTCGGAATTTTTATTGATCGGATAGTTCCATGTTTGGTCGTACTACTTGCGTTCATTTGCTTCCATTTACAGCAAAAGGAGATGAATGGCACTGGCAACTTTTTCAACATTCTTATCATGGAAGTGAAAAACTGGAATAATATTTATATAGTAGGGCTTTTTAAATCAGCATACCCTTTCTCACAAAAATGTCTGAAACATCTCTAGAGTTCTCGATTTCTACGTGCAAGATTTTTTGGCGGCCTTCGTATAGTACTGTGTATGTACAATTGCCACCCTAAAAAAGCTAGCACATCGATGACTAGACAAGATCTTAGCAGCTTATATTTTAGATGATCTTTAAAGTGAGTTCAATTTTAGCCACCTCCTAGTCAGAACTTTTAATTGGATTTTCAGGTTTACTATACATGTTTTCCATATCCCCATTACGTATTGTGGCTTTTAATTAAGTAAATCATCACATGCTTGCATTTCTCATTGGTCACTTGCCAAGAGATGGAATGGGTAAATGAAATAGAGATTTGGGAGGTTGAACATCTTGGATGCAGTCCAATGGCTACTGACTAGTCCCGGTCATAAAATCAAAAAACATCGAAGCTGTGTTTATTGCAAATTGCAATTACACTATTGTTGCCTTTGCTTTCGCAAGAATTGATGATTATTAGAAGATCGAATTTACACAAAATTCGATTTTTGATGACAGACACAAGGGTAATTTGTTTAAAGGAAGAAATTTAAAATCTCTATTGAAGAGAGAGAGGATTAGCAGTCAATGTGGTTACCTAATTTCAGTCTCCTTTTTCAGTCGACGTCTGGCATTAGCGAACCAAGTTGAGACCTGAGAGAGTGAAAGGTTAGTTGCCAATGCCAGAGCTGTTTTCTGTGCTCTGGTAGGGTATGGATGATCCCGGTGGTCAGCCAACCATGCTCGAAGAACTACACTTGTTCGTCCGTAACCACGAGTTGTACTGATGTCGCTAATTTTGTCTTTATGTTTGGAATAGCACTTTTCGATGTGCCTGTAGATAATTGAAGAAAAATGGGTCTAGAATGGTATTTTAATGAAAAAAAAGTAAAATTTACAAAAAAGTGATTTTAATTTTTGCATTAAAGAGGATTTATGAGCATTTGTTTAAAATAATGCCCTATTAACTGAAGCCAATGCAAATTGATTTAGCCTTCTATTTCCTCGCGCTTTGGTCATACAAAGATTGGTAGATGAGAAAATGAGAGAGGTTGACTCGTAGAGGGAGAGAGAGAGAGAGGGAGGGGGGAGCTTTTAAATAGACAAACTTGGGCCACACAAGATCGCTTCATGCTCGCGTGCCGTAAACATTGGGAGAGAAATAATGATGTGAAAGCTCACCCATTGTTTCGTAACTCTGAGCTCCCCGCCATATTTTGATATGCCTGCAAATGATAGTACCACGGAGTTGCATTCATCTGAAAAATGACCGAAAGTAAATGAAGTATTAACCCTGCCTTCTGCTAGTTCATCAAAATCATCATAAAAAAGGTATTATATAATGAAATTATTTGCTTGCTCTCTACGATTTGTTACAAAGTATCATTTAAATATTATATTAATGGTGAGGGGTGTGCGATAGACTTTCCTCCACGTGGTGCACCCTGGGCAACGTATACTCATACG